GGACAGGGCTGGGACTTTACCCTCCAGCCTATCCCGAAGGCGACTCTTCCATCCCTGTTAGCATTATGGGGATCAGGACAGAGAAAACAGGGCTAGCAGTGTGCCCCCATGCCCTGCTGCCCTGCCAGCACCATCCATGGTGTCACCCCCAGCCCTGCCACCATGTGCCTGGCACAAGTCCCCATGATGCTCACGGGCTGGGCAGCCCAACAAGCATGCATGGCCCTCGCTAGCTCTGCCTTTTGCTTTCAGCATCTCCCTCTCGCTATTTATCGGTGACTTTTGTCCTTGGCCAGCTTAGCAGCTGAAAGGGGCTGTATTATATCACACGTAGGCAGCTCCTGGGGGGAGAGGGCCGTGCTTTCTGCTGGAACAAAGCGCGGGTTGGCTAATTCCCCTCTCCTCCTGCAGCACCCGGGTCCCATCTGGTTGACACAGTTTGCTGCAGTGTCTCCTGCTATTAAGCCCCCACTTGCCTGTTTGAATCCTTGGTGCTCCCCCCGCCCCATGCCCTCAGCCCCTTTTTTCTTGCTTTATCTTTCATTTTCCCCTAAAGCCGGGCAGAACTTGCTTAATAGAGTGATGTCAGATGTGTGCAAACCAGACCAATAAAACCTAATGCATCCCCCCCTTTGTCTGCCATCCTCTCCAACGCCTAACATTTTCCACTCAGAAAGCCACTTAAAACACATCAGCAACAATCCCTCACAAAACAGCCACTTGTTGGCTAATTGTGCTGAGTACCTGCGCACACTGCTGCTGCTCTCCTGCTGGGAGGGTGGGATGCTGCCACAGCACTGGGCTCTTTGGGGCAAGGGGTGTTCAGAGACCTATCGTCCATGGGACCAGCCCTATGAGGAGGGTTGTGGGATGGGGGCTCACTGGGGGAGTCAGGATGGGGAGCTTTTGCTCTGGGGCAATGATGCTGCTTGCTGGAGATGCTCTGTGATGGGGTTGAGGTGGAAGGGATTGACCCTTTGCCTAATGGAGCATCCAAAAATCCCTCTCCAGGGACGCTTTGGGTCTATCATTGTGAAATATGTGGAGAACACATCCGCAGGTGTTTCATCTCTCTCCTTGCATCCCCATGGGAGAGAGTATGCCTCTGCCTGCGTCCCCTGTGCCACAGCATCCTCCATCCATCCATCCTGCTAGCCCTCAGCACATTTCAGTATGCTCCCAGAGCAGTATTTCTTTTCCTGCCAGAAAACTTTGGCAGATTTTCACACTGCCATCCCCTGTGGCTGGTGGCACAGCCCACAGCCACCGTGCTGGGCAGGCAGCCCAGAGCCCCGCTGATGAGCACACCTGCACTGATTCACCTGCCTGAATCACACATAAATGTCACACAGGCAGGGCAGCACAGGGAATGCAGCCAGCAGAGGCTCTGCCTTTTTACTTTCCACACAGGGAGCCACGCTGCAGTGTTGGTTTAGTCCTGATGCTGAGCTCTGCCACCTGCCCACAGCCACCAAGCGATGTGGGAGGCATCCATAGGTTGCCATCCGCTCCCCATATCCATGCTTTGGAGCACAAGGACCCAGCACCCTGCAGTGGGGCAGGAGGTTTCCATGCACACCTGGGCAGTGAGCCGTGCCAGGGGAAGAAGGGGTTAAACAGAGGCGGCAAAAATCAGAGGATTACAGGTTTGTTGCAGGACTGTCCCATCTGTCACCAGCACAAAGACAAGCCCTGTCTGGGGCTGGGCTGTCAGCGAGGAGCCCACCACTACATTAGGACTCCATTAGGGGAGACTTGTGGTGGGAAATGGCAGCTGTCAGGGCACTATCATTTCTCCTGTAATTCTCTGTGCTTGCTTCTTCGCTGCACTTAAATAGCAGGTCTACCTACTGGGCCAATTTTTCTTCTTCCTGCTGCTCCTCTTCTTGCTTTAAAGCTGCAGCTCCCTGCTCACCCAGGCCCTTGTCCTGATGCCACTATGTGTCGTGTCCTTCACATCAAGGCTGGTGGCACCCTGTCCAGCTGGACCTGCACAGGTGCCAGCAGTGCAACCCACTGCATCTCAGCCTTCCCATAGCAGGGAAAATCCTTGCTTTGTTGGGTTCCTTATACTGGGTTGGGACAAGGTGGCGTTGATATGAACCACTGCTGCTGCCCTACCCTTGGTGCACCCAAGCCAAGCTACAGCACCCAGCAAGGGGGGATGGGACCTCCTTGACCACGGGCTGTGCTGGAGCAGGATTTTCCCTCCCGAGCTGCATAGCCTCTCCCTGCTCTCCCAGGTTGTTGTCGTCAGGACGAGCTTGGGGTGAGATGCTCCTCATGTGGGATCCTTTATGCCATGACACGTCTGACCTGAGGACAGAAACGTGGACAGCACGGCGACCCCAGCACCATGTTGGATCTGTCATACTGCAGTACAACTGTCCCGGGGACACCTTGTTGTCCCCATGGGACAAAGTGGCCTGGACCTGCAGGGCCTCACTGTGCTGGGGACCCTCTTCCATCCTGGCTCCTCCTGGCTCTGCAGCCAGCAATCAAAACAAACACTTCTGCTGGAAAGGGCACCGCGGCGGTGCTGGAAATAAATAACTAATTTCTCCCTCTATGATCTCAAGGAGCAGGAGAGGCGTGAATAGCAGGGCCCGGTGTCGGGCTGACTGGACTCCCCGGTGCGGTAATTCAGAGGATGACAAACATAAGCCAAAGAAAAATGTTGAAAAATGGGCACTTCCTGCAGCCCCGAGCAAAGGAGCTATTGCAGGGTTTGGAAATAACGAAGGCAAAAAGAGGGAGAGGGGGGAATTTTCTCATTGAGACCAAGTGAAGTGCCAAACAAGCTGCTATTATGGTGGCTTTGAGAGGCACAGGGAGGGGGCACTCGGGGGAAGGAAGGAAGGGAGAGGGAAGGGGGAGAGGACTCAGAGAAAGGTGAGAGTGAGAGAGAGGACGAGGGGGATGCAAGGAGCAAAAGGTGCAAGGTGCAAGGTGGGAAATAGAGACAGGAACAGGTGGAGCAGTAGTGGCAGGGCCACCACATGCCATGCCCATCCCCTGTGTCTTTCCTCCATCCCCATCCCTACCCCCGGCCCCCTCCAGCCCCCGCACCCATCAGCACCAAAAGGAAAAAAAAAGAAAAAAAAAAGAGATGGAAAGAAGCAAAACAAAATATCTACAGTTGTCGAGACAAGGGGAGAAAAATAGAGGCAAACATCCATAATTTTCTCTGTGGGGCTTTGCAGTAATTGAGCCATTTGGATAAAAATAAAGGCAGCAGGCCCTTTAGGTAAGAGGGGCTTTTGCAATCCAAGAAGCCTGAATTATGCGCCTTGTATCACTTGAAATCCCCCACCCCATCGCCCCCCTCCGCCTCCCCCATGCGACACCAAACCACTTTCCCTTTTCTTCTTTTTTTTTCTCCTCTCTTTTTTTAAGTACCCTGTCAAACATCGTCCAACGAGAAGAGAATTTCAGCTGTCACAACTAATTTCAGTGCGTGTGTGTGTGAAGGTGTGTGTGTCTCCGGAGTGGGGACAGTGGGGGGAGAAGGGTGATGGAGGTATAGAAACACTCCTTTCTTTTGCTTTTTTTTTTTCTTTCTTTCTTTCTTTTTTTCTTCAAAAGGAAGATTTACATCAGAAATTTGTTTCTGGAAGTGTTAAAGGCCTGTAATTTCCTCCTTTTCAATTGCTGCCTGATGTCTTGTTACTGCTTTGCTGGGCTCCATCTTCCTCTGTCTGCAGAGATTTACATCTTGCTCGTGTCCCCCAGGGTCAACCAAAACACCTTTTGCCAAGCAGCTGGCACCTGGAGCATCCCTGCCACAGGAAAACAGCGAGATGAGAAAGTGAGAAATGAAGATCTCAATGCTCTCTACCATGACTGCAGAAACTGCCTTGATCATAGAATCATTTCATAGAATCACAGAGTGGTGTAGGTTGGAAGGGACTTTAAAGGTCATCGGTCTCCAACCTTGCTGTGGGCAGGGTTGCCAAGCACTAGAACACAGATGAAAGATGTTGGTGATGCAGATGCAAGCACCCGGTTGTTATAAATCCTTCTGTTGTCAAGCCATGTTCCTAATCCCCTTATAAACAGGGTTTTTTTTTGCTTAGGGTTGAGATCTGCAATGAAGTGAGAAGAGAAAATGTTGGTATTCACACAGCACACAGCGCTGAAAAGAGCAAAGAACAGCCGAGGAGAGCAACCAGAACTTTCAACATTTGGATCGTGGTTTCACTGTTGAATTTAACACTCTGATCCAGCAGCTTTGGGAAACTGGCTCTGAGGTGATACAGGTGCTGTCAGAGCAGCGTTCACCTCTGGGGGCCACAGACATGGATCATAAGAGTCATAGAATCACAGAATGATCTGGGTTGAAAAGGACCACAACGATCATCCAGTTTCAACTCCCTGCTATGTTCAGGGTCACCAACCACCAGACCAGGCTGCCCAGAGCCACATCCAGCCTGGCCTTGGGTCTCCTGGAGCGGGTCCAAGGCAGGGCAAGAGAATGCACAGAGGCTGCATCACCTCTGCATGGAGACAGCGGAGTACTGGGGGCGTGCAGCCTGGAGAACGCTCTGGGAGACCTCATTGTAGTGCCTACAAGAAAGCAGGGAGGGACTCGTCAGCAGGGAACGTGACAAGGGATAATGGTTTTAAATTTAAAAAAAAAGCAGTTTTAGGTTAGATATAAAGAAGAAATTGTTTGCTCAGAGGGCAGCGAGGCCCTGTACTGCTGTGCGTGCCCCAAAGCAGGAGGTGCCCAAGGCTGCAGGCGGGGCTCTGAGCAGCCCGAGCCGGGAGGGACTGCACGCACATGGCTGGGCCCGGCCCCGCCCGGCCCGCTGCTCAGGTGCACGCGTGGAGCCGCTCGGAAGAACAGCCCGCGCTCCCCTCCGCCCCCAGGCCCCACACCAAGCTCCGCACCAGACCCGGCCGCGCCCCCTCCCACCGCCCCTCCCGCACCGCCCCGGGCCCCGCCTCCCGGGCCCACTTCCGGCGGAAGTGGGGGGCTCTTTCCCTTTCCGGGTGCGGGTCCCCGGGCGGAGCGGCGGGACGGCGCGGCGGCGGCGTCAACGGGCGGGCGCGGGGCGCGTGTCATGGCGGAGCTGGCGCAGGGGCAGAGCGCGGCGCCCGTGGGGATCAAGCCCGAGGGCTTCGTCGATGCTCTGCACCGGGTCCGGCAGGTGAGCGCGGGCAGGGCAGGGCCGGGGGGCGGGAGGAGGCCGCGGGACGCCGCTAGGCCGCGGGGCCGCCCTGAGGGGCCGGGCCGGGCCGCCGAGCGCTCCTCACGGCGCTGCTCTGAAGCCGCGCCCGGCTGCCCCGCTCGGCGTTGGGGACTCGGGGCGTTGCGGCGGGGGTCGCGGCACTGGGAGCTGCCTGGAACGTGCGGTCTGTCTGTAAGTGAGGCCTTCGTTAGGCTTTCGGCTCGGCGGCATCCCCCGTGTGAGGGAACCGTGCTTTCCCTCATGGAATGGAAGGGGTGAGGTGTGAGCTGCGATCGCTAGGCTCGTGCAGCGTGTGGATGGCGACTGTGGACCTGCGGCTGTCGCCACCTCTGTGCCCAAGGTGGGACGCCTGCTGCCTGTCTGTGCCTCGCTTTGTGGAAAGGAGCATTGGGGATGAGCAGCTGTAGCTGTGCTGCATGGATGTCCGGAGGATTTGCTGTGGTTTGTGCTCCGTTTCCCTCACAGGGAATGTCCCAGCTCTGACAGAGCTGCGCTCCACCTGCGCTCGGTAAGCGCTGTCTGACTGTTGCAAAGTGTGATGCAGCCAAATGCTGGGCCTGGTGCTGGAAGACTGACTTAACTCTGATGTTGCAGGCCAGGTGGCAGTTACCTTCTGTTTCACAGACTTCCTTTTTTCACTTAAATGGGAAACTTTAAAGAAACTGATGTGGACCTTAGGACCTTTCAGACAGTTGCTCTGGAGGGACTCGAGTGGCTTACCATCAGTCATGGCTCACTTGTGAATCAGTGTGGCTGCAAATCCTGTTCTGCACAGTCTGCAGCAAAGGATACAGAGGTGCTTGCTGTTCCAGAGGAACACCCTGCACCTTCCCAGAAGAACTCCCAAGCCAGTTTGCCCTTCATCTGTTCATTTGCTTCTTAACAGAAGTACGGCAGTAGGCGAGTAGCTGCCTCCTGGGTGAGGCCAAGAGTGTCCCTTCTTTCAGTGGCTAACAGAGCATCATGGCCTTGACTGTGTGTGGTATCTGAAAGCTTTCCTATTGCCTCAGCTTGGAATAGTAAATTTGAGAGGTGTGCTTGTCTTGACCTGGTCATCCGTAACTGAAGGCCTCTTGCTGCATAAATGTCACTGAATTTTGATAATATAATTGCTTTCTAGCAGTTGAATAATTTGTCAGTAACTTGTCTGTGCACAAGAAAACATGATTACCTGCTGATCTGTGTTGGAAGAACTGCAGTATGTACCACCTATCTAATCAGTAACAGGTGAAGTGTGAAAGTGGGATGTCTTGGGCTGTGTTAGGCTAAAGCAGTTCTAGCTGAAACTGAGTCACGTGTGTTGTGTGGCTGCTGTTGTCACGTTTATAGGTTTAGGTGCCTTGTGTTGACATGTGGAGGAGATAAAGAATTCTTTGATATTTTATTTTCTGTGATTTTGCTGTTCTTAAGTTTATTATACTTGAAAGAATATTTTGGATTTCCAGTAGCATACAACCAAAGTTAGTCTGATCTGAAATGCTTAAAAATCCTCAAAGCTGTCAATTTCAGGTCAGGCACTGCAGAGCAGCAGCTTTCATGCTACCTTTCATGTTGGACACAAGGCCTGCTGAGAAAAATGTTCCCTGTATGTGTTCTTGGGAGTGCAGTGGATTACGTTCTTGAGCAGTGTGCTGTGTGCTACCTGGTTGTTGTTTCGTTAGCATTTGTAGGATGAAAAACATTGTTGGCAAGCACTCTGCTGGCAGCTGTTTCCCTTACTGCCCTAGCAATCTGCAGTGACACTTCTGGCCGGGAATCAGGTGTGATGCAGAGGCAGTTGCAACAGATATTTCTCTGGAGGTGATGGCAGAGCTTTCACTGAGTGTGTTCAGTGCAGCAGGTTGCCTGATGGTCCAGTGTGTGGATGTCAGCTTGTGTGTTGCTTCTGGCCAGTGTCGTAGCTTTTCAGAATATTACTTTTGCTCTAAGAAGGGAGGGGGCAGTGGGGAAAAACTTCGGTTGTAGCTCTTGCTTCCTGGGTTAGACTAGCATCTCTGATCTGATATTTGAATTATTTCAAAGCTTAAGCTTGCACTTAAGACTAGTAATCAAATCTACTGAATTCAAGAGAGCCATTACAGTGAACTTGAGCTGCAGTACACTGTGCTTAGTTAGTAATAACTAAATAATTCAGGACAGAGAAGACTTTCCTGATCAATCACAGTAACTGCGATCTTCAGTGACACTGGGATGTGAGCTGATGTGACAGTGAGACATCTGTAGTATTTTGGAAGAAACGACTGCTGTGTTGCTTTCTGTGCTTGTGCTGGACTTGGTTGGATTTTTTTGTGTGTGTGCTTTTAAATACTTGAGATGTGCAGCAGAATACTTTCTCAAGTGAAACCTAGAGCTTTGAGACAGGCTATTCTGCACCTTCCACACCACGTCTTGAGTGAGTGGGTTAGTTTATGGGTTGTAGGTGGTGACTGATTTGCACGTGAGGGCAGCTGCTCCCAGGCATGGTAGCTTTTCTTCTGAGACATTTTGGGGTTGAAAGAGTTGGAAAGGATGTTTGTTCCCCTCTCCAGTAATGGGATTGCCCAAAAAAAGCAGAGTTGCCAGTACTTCGGATAAAAATTGATTTCTGTTGGACTGCCCTTGGTTTAGCTCTCGCTGACAGAACAGCATCTTGTTTGATTCTTATCTTCTCTCCTTCTTGGCAGTCTCATTTTCTGTGCAAGGTATGCATTAGTGATTCCCTCAATACAGATACGTGTAGAATTATTGTAACCTGCCATATATACCCTGAATCTGAGTTTCCAGAGGCGATGAAGAAGGAAAAAGAAGAAAGAACTGTGGCTTAGCAGCCTGCGGTGGCTGATCTTGGGTACCTTGGATGACATGGTAACAAGGATGAGGTGGCCTGAAGGCTTACTGTGAGTCAGTGGGCTGTATGTCTGTATCCCTTTCTAGTCTCAGCAAAATGGATGTGCTGGGTTAAAAAAAAAAAACAACAAACCACTGACATGCAGAGGGGCAAAAGCAGTGGAGCAGCAGCTAGCAGTACATTACTCAAGGTCATGTAGGCAGATAAGGGCTAGGTCTGCTTACTTTTGCTGTGTTCTAACTTTGGTGCTTATCTTGCTGAACCTGTAGTAAAAACTGAGGTTCCCATTGTAAGTTGAACACGAGAAGTTAAAATGCATTTTAACTGTTTTATCTACTTTAAAAGCTTAACTCTTAATTTTGCAGGGTGCTTTCCCTACTGTATGAGATGGCGTGTTGTCCGCGTGTAATCCCAGGCAGCTGGGAGGCTTTGGAGATAAGGGTGTGTGTTTCAATTAAGGAGGCAAGGGGGGGATGGGGGGGAAGAGAGAGAATATCCCAAAAGCTGGTAGTGTAAGAATTGCTTTACTCTCAGTTTGGCCCTGTGTTTGAGGTTCGTGTGCTGGGGCCATGGCTGCGTGTGAAGCACAAGCAGGGATTTGCAGTGCTCTCCTGCTCAAGGAGCTGGCAGCTCTGGTGCTGGGGATCTGCTGTTCACACCTATGTGCTTTATGCTATCTTCCTTTTGTAGGCCAGGGTCTTCTTCCCTGTGCAGGTGTGGTGTGTGATTTCAAATTCATAGTTCCAAACTATCAGCTAGCAGTTTCTGTACAGTGTATTTTTTTTTTTTTTCCTCGTATTGTTCAACAGATTTCACAAAGGGCACTTTAAAATCAAATGTGCTGCCAGGGTACGTTATACTTGACTACAGCTCAGTGGCATAAGTTTTGACTGTGAGTTACGATGTTAAAGCTGTCAATGGATTATTGTAAAACTTATTTTTTATCTCCTTTCCAGCCCTAAAGTAGTCAGGAAATATCTATGTTCTTTGTACCTTCGTTAAAGTCCTCTGCATCCCAAACAAGGGGGAAGCAAGTGAGTCAGGGGCTGGAAGCATGACTGCAGTACAGCATCCAGCAAAGAGTGGGGCATCTCTTCACGCTTCCTTGTGCAGAACGGACAAGGGCTTGTTCAGAAATATATTTCTCTGAGCTTACTGGCTCTTGGAGATGTTGATGTGCAGTGTGCCCTGTGTGGCTGGTCCCTGTGCTAGGTTATGGCTGAGCAGCACTTCCTCTTTGGGGTCTGGGTAACCACACTGTGGGAAGAATGGTCTGGTGTTACGTTCCCAGTTGCTCATCCAAAACTAGTTAAAATCCTGTTAAGGTAGGATGGATTTATTCTCCAGCTCCTGGCACTTGATTAAAGCCAAGTTGTTGCCTTTCTAAAGGAGATTGGGAAGGAGTGGTCGGAATGCAAGAAAATGGTCGAAACTTGGAGCCCCTTCCAAACAAGACATCAAGAGCATTTTCTGTTCTTTCTAAAAGCAGTGCCCTCAATCTTCCAAGGTTATTTCATACAGCATTTTTCACTACCCTGTGGTTCTGCATCTTGTGCGGTTGTTTATTCCACCGCAGCAGTTGATAGTGTCAACAGCCAGAATTACTGTAGATGTCTTTTTGTTGCAATAAAACTTAATTTCAGAGACACCTTTAGTTATGTTTGTCGTTTGCCCTTGCCTTCGTTTAAAGCCTATCTTTGTAAAGAGCTCTTTTTTCATCTATTCCTTTCACTTCCTCTCTGTGATATGCCAGGCGTAAGACAGCAAGATCGCGCTCCTAGCAAAGATCCCTTCTTTTTGCTGGAAAAGGAAGTGAGTGCTGTGCAGCACACAGCGTATTTGTTCTGCAGCTGTATTCTGCACTCTGGCAGAGCGCTTCATGTAGGCAGGCTGTGCTGTGGGGCCGTGGTTTGCCCGTCCCTGAAGGGTGTATTTGGTAGTCGAACTACTAAAGCTGGTTGGCTCTCAGACTTGGCTTACATTGGTTAACCTGGAGAACAGGTCAAAGAGCTCACCTCTGTCACATCAGTCCATGTAATTGTCTCCCGAATGTTTAACGTTTCACTTGTATTCAGTGATGCTTCAGAGTGTCTCTCACTTATTTTACTTGCTTCCTGTGATGCCTGACTCCTCCTCCCTCAAAGTATCCTCCTTGCCTCCCAGCCCACCCTGGAATGGCTGTTACTCCTCCAAGGGCTGCAAACAGAAGCACAGGCAACCTTAGCTGTGCTCGTACTGCAGGAAATAGAAACTTATTCTGGGCTGATAGTTTGCCCACTGGCTTATTCTTCGTACAGTAAACACGTACTGATCCAGCCCCTTTGACAAGGAGTCCCCAAACCTGTCCTGTGCTGTGTATTTGCACGTTCTTCCCCTTCCACTCCTCTCACCCCCCACTGATGTGCAGCTATGCATTTCTGTGTATCTGGATATGCATGAATGCAGCAGAAATGTCTTCCTACATTGCTGTGGTGGTTGCAGCTTCTCCAGGACAAAGCTGGGGGACTAGGTTTAACTTGTCGGCTGTCTGCTGAATGAATGAACAAATCTGAATGTAATATTACAGCCAGCAAATGCATACTCATGACCAGGAAGAGGAGCTGGGTGAATGCAGTCTCAATTACACAAATATCAAAAGCAAGTGGAAGCCTGTTTACTTTACAAATAAAGCACTGCTTTCCTAGGACTTCTACAAAGCCATCTATGTAGAAAAAATAGCAGCCAAGAGACTGTTGGACGGGGATAAATGCTTTGTTTGAAGAAGGATTGTTTAGCTGCGGTGGCTGAAACTGTAAATATGCTAACCAAGTTTTTATCACCTGTTTGTATAGATTGCTGCTAAAATTGGAGATATTCCTCACTTGAATAATTCGACAACACTCGTGGACCCGTCAGTTTACGGTTATGGAGTGCAGAAGCGGCCCCTTGATGATGGAGGTAAGTGGGGTATGATTAATCAGTCTTGTGAATTCACTTCTGAAATCCATCTATTTTGGCAGCTGTCTTTTTTAAGGGCAGAAATTGATGCAGCTTGTTGTGTATAGATTTTGTTTGCAAGATTCCCCGTGCTGTTGAGTCTTGCATAGCACTGGGCTCCTAGGCATTAATAATAGTAACGTCAAGCAATTCTTTTCTTAGTTCTTGAACTCTGGGGATTAGCAGTCTAATTCTGTAGTTTGTCTTGTTCCATGCTAGTTTGGGGAGGGTGCTTCATGGAATTGTGCTGGAGCCTGTGTGCAGAGTACCAGGAACACGTGGGCAGGATGTCCCTGCTTTCTGAGCTCAGGCAGTGTATGGGGCAGTATTCCCTCTGCTGCTTCCCATGGGTCACAGCACAGCAGCTGAGTGGCTGCCACGTTCCATTTGCTTTGCCTTGCACGTGGATTTTAAGGAGAAACAGTGCTGATGCAAGTTGATCCAAGTTTGAAGGAAACTTCGTACGTTAAGACTGTTCTTAAATCTCTGAAGCATTTAATGTTGACTGCAACCAATGAATAATTTACTGGGTTATTCTGGTAAACGTAATGAGTTGTTTGAGTTGTTATGGTTATAGAATAAATAATTTGTTTCTGGTCTTTGGGAAGAAGAAATGTTAGAACGGATGTTTTCTGCTATTACAAATGTAATGTGCACTGTGACAAGAAAAATGTGGTACCTGCTGCTGTTTAGATGCAAAGAGCTCACTGTTTGCCATCTCTTTCTCTCCTAGTATTTCTGCCGAGACAGGTAGCCCTGCAGGTTGATTCTTTCCTCCATAGATACACTTGAGTACTGAGGAGATATGCAGAGCTTCAGCTCAGAACTTCATTTTGAAAAGATTTCTTTTCTGTTTGATGCAAAGCTATGGAAGACAAGGGCTAAAAATACTGCCTGCCTGCTCCTCGTGCTGAAAAGCATGCTGGAGCACAGGAGGAGCTGCTTTCATGTGGAGCCTCTGGCTTGCAGACATGGCTGTTGTCTGAACAGATGCCACAACCCACTTTGTTCTCTGGCATTGGCTTCTATTTGAGCAAGAGGTTGCTGCTTGTTCAGCTTGGTGTTTTGGGAAAGAGTGGGTTGGTAGGTGTGAGCTGGAGCTTCACTGTGTTGTTATGTGCTGGTTTCTGCATACAAAGGTGCTGGGCTGTCCAGCAGTGAGCAGTGAAACCTGCTGGGGTTCTTGTGATCAAACAGATGTGTTCAGTGTGGCTCTAATTGCTAGGGTAGACCAACTGCAAAGAAACGGTTTGCAAACCTGTGCTGGCCATTTCCTTTCCAGCACTTTTCAGCTCTGCTTAAGGCTGTCCTCATGCAAAGGTCTGATCATGGACATTATTTCAAAGGATGTCATCTTAAGATGTTTCTTCCATTCCTGAACCATTGTTGGAGCAGGAGATGTGAATAGATTTTACTTTTCCTTTGCCTTCAGTAATATTTAGTGTAAATTTGAAGATTGCTGAGCTGTCTGAAGGGCCTGGGTAAGTGGCTGTATATGAGGAAAAAATGCACACAGTCCTCGAGGAGCCGTTTACTCAGAGCATTAGTCCTACTGTTTGTTTTCATTGATTCAGCAGACTGAACGTGAGAAATCCAACCTGTTAAGGTGTCCTTAAATGCATTTTTTAATATATGAAATAGCTTTAATGCCTGATAACAGCCTGGGTTAGACTTTGTACTTAAACTTTTACCAGTTAGCACTATTACTTGCTGACCCTTGTTTGTGTTGACACAAACCAGGTCAGTACCACCGCAGACTGTGCTGTGAAGGCACGTTGCCTCTGGTTCCTTGTGCTGTCACAGGCAGCCCCACGTGGCAAGGACTGGCTTTAGGAAAGCTTCCTCGAGTGACTGGACTCCTGATTGCCTGCTTGCCTTCCTCGCATACATCTGAAGGTTCCATAACTTCCAGATTAGGAAAGCACTGGGTCCTATTTGGATCTTTTAATGCCAACAAGGGGAATTTGGACCATGTGCTCATGCTTTGCTGCCTTTCCTGCTCTGAGCTCTGACGGTTTGGGGTCGTCGTCATTAAGAGGAGAGGATTTCTGTCTATGCACGCTTTGGAAATGTTGTGATGCGGGCGACTGGATACATTCTGCCACTCCAGATTGCTTGAAAGCAAATGTGGTAGTAAATGTTGTTTCTTCACCTCTGTACGCTGTGTGCTCGTGGCTGTGTACAGCTCTCACTGCTCCCGTAGCCCCGCGTAGCTGTTAAAAAAATTACTTCTGTTCCTAAGACCACTGGAAAAATGGATTGAGAGAATATGAGAGTATTTAAGGTGACAAGAGAACTGTCTGGCTTTCAGGGATATCTAATTCAGCCTGTCCATTTTTGTAAACAGCTGCCAGCACGGCTGATTGATGTCAGCTTAGGAAGTGGTCTTAAGACAGGATGACAGTGCGCTGGTCAAAACAAATTCAGCTGCTTTTAGAGCATTTCCAGGAAAAATAGACTTGTCATAGTATTGGAGGCCAGTCAGCGTGAGTTCCTTTTGCATTTCCCTTAATGTAACATTCATCAAAAACAAATAGCTGCTGGGGCTGACCCTCGTGCCCTGGCCTGTTGGTATTGGATAAAGTTTGAGAACTATTATTTTTTTTCTTGCTTCTTGAAGGATGTTTCCAGAAAGGCAAAAGAGGACCCCTGAGATGGGGTCCCTCCAAGATGCAGTGGCATCTTGCCTGTGGCTTGCTGCTGAGAGTAGATCCCAGCACTCCTCTTCATGGCCAGCAGCAGCTCCTGGCCTCCATCCAAATTAACGTGTCCATCTAGTTACCTGCACAATTTAATAAGTTTATTTAACGCTAATCCGACCTCGAAGAAAAGCTTCAAAGGAAGTGGGGGCCTTGTCTGCCAGAAAGACAGTGATTGCCAGAACCTCAGCGTTAGCCTTTGTGTGCTCCGTTCTGCAGTGCTTTGAAGACGCTTCCAGTGATGTAGCTGAAGGTTGAAGCATCCTTTGAGTCTGGGGAAACAAAGACAAGGCCTTGGAGAGGCCCTGTGCCGCCTCCCCCCTGCCTTCCCCAGCCTCTGTGGTACACCCAGATAGGTTTTGTTCTAATAGAACCTGATTGTGTTAAAGCCTGGGGACTCAAGCACGTGCGATCCTGTTGTATGCAGAACTTGCATAGCTCCAACGTGTTTTCATGGGCACAAGGAAACCTTATTCTAAGAAAAGTTAGCAGGGATGCTCCATCATGCATCAGCATGACCAGGTAACAGAAATCCCCTTGGCAGAAGCTTAATGTGCTGCACGAAATGGCAGCTCTCTTCAAAACTGCCCACATCTTTAATAAGGCAGCGTAAAGGTGCAAGCATTCTTATAAAGATTCACAACAAAGGCAGGCAGGAAAATTGGTTTAGACCATTAAATAACTTACTAACATTTAAGGCTGAACAACAACTCTGGTAATTATTACCTTTATTGCATCTTTCTGAAATTTGTGATGATCCAATTCTGGTTCAGAAGTGCGAAATGCAGCCCCTTTCCACCACTTTCCAGGAGCGTCTGGTTTTGTTCCAGCCATGAGGATATCCTCAATGACATTGTATATTCCTATCGTGCACGTTAATTTAGTGGGAGGCACTGATCTGTTCTGTGGGGTGGAAAAAAATCTGCATTTGTTTAGAGTGTCTGTTAGGTAGAATTCAGTTAAAGGTGAAGCCTAAAGAAGAGTGAAGAGTTATCAACCAGCGGGTGCCATTAACGGGAAATTGGGCTTATTTTATTCAGTATTTTTCCTTGTTTGCAGTAAAATGACTGCAGTTACAGTTAAATTGTACTCAATAGGTGTAAAAAGGGGGAAATGTGGACGTGGCTTGTCAGGGTTCAGTCCGCTCCCCAGCAAGAGGGAGGTGGGGGAGCGGGATGGCAGCTTTGGTGCTGCAGCAGGCATCTGCTGCCCCGGCCCTGCCTCTCTATTAGCTTCATCTTTCATAGCAAAATGGGCATTTTAGGGAAGAAATCAAACCTTCAGATTGTTGGGATGAGGAGCTATTTCTTAGGATAAGATTTCTGTTTTCCCTGCAAATGAGGAGAAATCGGATCTGCCTTAAAGCAAGTCACCCCAGCTTTCTCTGCCTGCTCTGCTTCACAGCTCCTGGAGGCTGTGTGCAGAGGGAATGGTGTCCTCCTTTAATTACTGGGGCTTTGTTTGCTTTTATCTAATTGGTACAATAAATATATATAAAGTAGGCATGAAATCTATCTGTCTGATTCAGCTTCTTGTGCTCGCACAGTTTTCCTCTAGGAAGCTGTCTCTGGTGTTGATGATGGCTCTTCTGTTCCTTGCATGAACTTTGGGATGTGATTATAGGATGCATATCTGTCTCATAATTTGTGGGCAGCAACTTCAGTGTAAGAGACTGCAAAGAGATGTGCTGAGGTGAATCCAAATGCAAAGTGGCTGTTTAAATACTGCTGAGTGCTAGGAGCACTTCTTCCCACACGTGGGGGTGCTGGGTGGCCTGGTCCTGTCCTGCAGACCTATTGCTTTTGGCAGAGATACACCTGAGTGCTGGTAGGGGCAGGGTGGTGAGATTCTGGATTTGTTTGATCACATTTGCTCAACTCTGCTGCGGCAGCTTATCAGCAAGAGCAAATATCCCCCATTACATCACCCACCTTTTTCAGCTGCGGCATTGATAGTTATCAAATTAGAGCTTTTTATATTCGGGGTGAGAATATGCAAAAGCGAATCTAACGGCGTCAATAACGCAACAGTTGTCTTATTGCTGAGCTGGAGAGAGTAATAAAACATATATGGTCGATATTTTGGTCCTGAACTATTATCGAGATATTGACGCGCCGCAGAGATAGGATATTGACTCTCTTTGTCTGCTTTATTGGAGTGTTTGGCCAGAAACTTTGTGTGGGTTTTTTTTTTCCCTACCGGATTCTGTGTGCTTGGGATGCATCCGCTGTGTAACCCTGACAGCTGATTGCCAATTTATTTCAGGTCAGAGAATGTGCAGGTTGCTGTAAGGTAGTTTGAAACAGCGTTTTTATTATCACGGCTCGTGTCGTTGGCCAGTTCCATTTGTTTCTCGCTGCTCGTGCCCTCCAGGCATGCAATATAATCTGCAACTGGTTGTTAGGACCAAATGGTCTGGTTTTTAGCTGGTTTGCTGCGGGCAAAGTCCTGTAGGAAGCCCAGCAGGGCATGTGTTCCCACTTTGCATGAGTTGGTCTAATGATATTTTCCCCATTAACGTTTGGAAGAAAGATCTAATCTGTGGGGGCTGGGGGGGAACAAGTCTGTCTGAGGGCTGTCAGCTGGGAGATAACAGCTAATGGTAACGGGCTGCCAGCTGACATCACAGATATGCCTGGAATGTTCAGTCAAACGCGAGGGGGAAAAAAGTACAGTTTGGGTGCCACGAGGGTTCTGAACAGACTTCTTCCTTTAACAGGTCTCCGTGTAAGTGGGCTCCATGGAGCACAGATAAGAGATACAGAGAGAAGTATGTGCGAGCAATCTTCAATGCTTTTTGCCTAGACTAAATCTCCGAGTCTGCTCAGCCTTTATGTTTGTTTGTGGTACATACGGAGCACTTGACATGTCTTTTCTCCCCTTGCAGTCCCACCTCTCCCCCTTTCTCTTTTTTCACGTTGGGTTTAAATTGGGAAGGAGGGAGGTGAGTTGTGGGGATTTGGATTTGGGCAGGCAGGATTTTCTCCCATGACTCTCAGCATGGGGAGACGCAGATCAATTCCCTATCCTGTGTTCAGCTGGACACTGGGTTATGGTGTGTGCTGATCAAGAAATCCCCTCCTGTTTTGTACCCCATAATGCATTCATTTCAGCTGCTGAACCTAAATTACTGTTTTGCTTTTCTTTCTTTTTTGATGAAATGGTAAGAACTCTTTTTCTATAGGGATGAAGTTAGTTTATCCGTGCTAATGCCTTGATTTTTTTCTTTTCCTTTTTTCTCTCTCTGCCACAGTAGGTAACCAGTTAGGGGCCCTGGTACATCAAAGGTAAGCAGTGGGTTATGTTTTATTATTTATTGATCGATTCTAATTGTTTATTGATCCACCATCTGTAGTAGTGTTAGGAAGTCAGAGGTTGGGAATGTGGAGAAATTGTCAGCTTGGGTTTTCTGCAGGCTAAGGCTTCTGCTAACCCTTTAAAAGCTATTTGTTGTTGTTAGGAGAAAAGAAGAGTTGAAGTAAAACTTGGATTTGATTCCTGTAGCTCTGCAGGACCAAGCAGAATAAATTATCTCCTTTTCCTTCTCCTGCCCAGTGGGAAGGAAAGGGATGGGGGGAAAAAAAAAAGGCGAACTGGCACTTTGACAGAGTTTGAAAACGTTAAACAAGCAGGTGGGTTTTTATTTATGTGTACACATGTATATATTTTTTTTCCTGGATTTGTTAATGTAAGGTGACCTGGGATGATTCCTTTGATTGTCAAAGATGTTTTGAGGAGACCAAAGCAAATGAAAGTTATTGCACAGCATCTCTTAGCATCGAATACAGGAGTGGATTTCTCAGTAGGGCTGCATGCAATTCGTGGGCAGCATTGTCTGCTCTGCTGCTGTCTGCCACCTCTGCTCTACCAGCAGTGATGGTTGTGCAGGGAATTATGCACTGCTTTTGAGACTGCTGTACAAACTGTGTGAAATGCATATGGCAGCATACAAGCTTTGCAAGTCCTGTATTTGTTGTTGTTTTATATGAAATAGAAATGGCAAACAAAAGTCCCGCAAGGAATTTCTTCTGTGCTTCACTGTAGTCAGGTCTTAGGAAATTGCTTTGGGTGCTCATGTGTTGAGGCACAGATGTGCTGAAAAAGTCCAAAGAGCAACAGATAGGGAAATCTTGAGATGGTAAAGATGATCAGAGACAGCTGTTGTAAATTCCAAGGAAAGGAACCATAAGTACAGGCAGGCAAGAAGGTAAATTTGAGTATCAGAAGGAGCATTCCAACCAGCATTGGCATTGGTTAGTGTCTCCTGGCAAGAGCGTATCAGAAGGCAGCAGGCAGAGGCTACGGCTTCGAAGCTGTCAGTCTAAACATTGAAGGAACTTTGCTGCTTTTCTCTTAAATCTGTCTGGAGCACGAATGACAAAAAGGTTCTTCCATTGAGGATAACAGTAGAGTAGAAATATATCCAGTGCAGGAGAAATGAGGTGTGTTGTCTCTGCAGCCAGGGCACGGAGCAGGGCCTAAAGGTCTCTTCCAAAACAGTTTTAATTGTGATGTAGTATTTACTTCTCTGTGTGCATTAGCCTTATGCTGTGCTTTGTTTCCACAGCACAACATCTTCTGTCATCTTCTGAGTTGTTTGTTGTAATGACCATTCGATTTTTTTTTTTCTTCCTTTCCTTTCAGGGCTGTAATAACAGAAGATTTTAAAGTGCCTGATAAAATGGTTGGATTCAGTAAGTACCTTGCATGCTTTTGGTATGGTTCTTCTGTGCAAGAATGCTGCATGTTCTGCTAGGATAAGACATGCTCACAAGTTTTTGTGCTTTCTAGCCTTGGGTGAGTCTTGTCTGATGCTTTGTGGGGACCACATCATCTGCATTTAAAATCCATGTGCAAATGGCATGGAAAAGCTTGGTGTCCCAGTAATGAGAACAAGTCTGCATGGTGCAGGCTACTGAGAGCTCTAGTGCTTCTGTTCCTGAAATGTCAAATAACAAGCTACGTAAATATATCAAAAGCGAATTAATTTCCCCTCGTTGAATCACTTTCCTTTTGAGTATGCAGAAGTGTGGGAGGTGAGGGAGGAAAACAATATTTAAATGTTAAAACAAGGCTTGATTCAAGGCGAGATAAGCAGAATTTTAAATTTTTCATACCTTTGCTGCAGGGGAACACAGCCAGTATGCATTGCTCAGCTGAGGTTTTTTCCCTAGACTTGTGTTCTTGGTGCTGTTCTCTTCTAAGCTTTATTTTAATTCCTCCCTTCCTTTTGATGATCATTACTCTTTCTTTCAATGGCACCCTCCTGCTGTTGTGACTGCAGAGATTGCATTTACTCTTCCACTGTTAGGTATCTGTGCATCTCTCCCAATTTGGTATACAGAGAGTAAAAAAGAAATTAACAGCCCCAGTAATTACCCCTTAGGGCAGTAACTGTAACACTGGAATTCACGAGAAGGAAATCTGTCCTTCTGCCAGCCTTTTCTATTTATCCATCCTGGTACCACATGTGTGGAGGAAGGGAAGTCAGAGGGGTTCTACAGCTGGATGAGATGGGACCCTGCATGTTGGTGCATCAGCTGTGTATTCCATACAGTCCTGGTTCAGCAGCAGCCAGGTGTAGGAGGCAGCATCTGATTCATAAATCATAGAATGGCTTAGGCTTGGGTTGGAGGGGACCTCGAGGACCACAGGCAGGGCCACCAACCTCCACGTTTAATACTAGACCAGGCTGCCCACGGCCCCATCCAACCTGGCCTTGAACACCTCCAGGGAGAGCTGGGAGGTTCTTCTGCAGGAGCACCTTGAGCCAGGCATACCTGTCTGACTTGACAGTTCTGCTCTTTTAAAGGATAGGAGTTGTGATTGGCACACACTGTGTCTCCTCAGTGTGTCTGTGAAACAACTGTTTGCTGACCCTAAATGTTAAGAGAGATGGATATTTGTTTTCCTTAAGGTTTGATAGAGCGTTTTGGTGTATAGCAGTTCTGATCAGACTGGATAAATAGCATGTCTTTTGAAACGAGGTAGTAAAACACAAATTTTAAAGAGAGCAAAGCAGAAGTCCTTAGCTTTTTTAGGTTCTCAAATAACTGGTTTATTTGTTTGGGCTGAAATACACCTAGATGACTCCCAGCAGTGCTCAGGATTGCACCTTCTATCTTACCTCCTTTCTTATCTCCATTCCAGTGCAAGACAAAGTGGTTGGGTTTTTTTGTCGGTTTCCTTTTTGATTGCTTTGTTTTGATTTGTTTTTTAAATGTAATCATACTATGGATGCCTCTTCTACAATCCTGTAGTCAAATTGTACCTTTATAGAGAGCTGCAACGGAGTAGAAGGGTGGAAGTTGCTCTGCAGTTTTTTGGGATAAGCAGCTGATGCTTGTTGAACTCATTTCAGTAATCGGCAGGGGAGGTGAGCAGATCTCACGGATTCAGATCGAGTCTGGCTGCAAAATTCAAATTGCTCCAGGTAAGAGCCTCGTTTGTGGTGGGTGAGCAGGTTTCAGTGTTGGAGAATGTCGTGTCCGTTGAATCAGGTGCCTTGGTCATCATTTGTGAATGGTGGCAATGCATTATATAGTAGGCTGACGTGTTGGGAAAGCTGTTGTAGGACTGGGCTCCCTGAGAAAACAGTTTTGTCGGGTGGTTTAGGGAATTGAATAGTTAAGGAACTGTCTTTAACCAGCAGATGGGTACGGAGCAAATGGATGATCCACGCTTTTAAAGCAGAAATCGCTTCTGCTTAGTCTTCTCCTGGCAGTGCCATTTAGCTCAGCTCATGCAATTTATCTCTGATCAGTCCACTCTGCTCCAGCTCCTGGCAGAAAACATTTCAGGAGGGTGGCAGCACTTCTTCATACAATTTGCCTTGCATTGAAAAAAAAATGGGAGTGTGCCGTTTGCTCTGCTAGTGCTGCAGCCTGTTTGCTTTGGGGAAGGCTGTACTACAAGTGCTGTGCAGGATACTGTTTGATGAATGCAATCTAGGTTTTAAGCTTGCCTTTAATTGGTGGGGAAGGCTTTAAAATAATACAGATATCCAGCAAATCATTTTAAAATATATTGACCCTGGATGTCTCCTGCTCTGTGTGCAGAGGGGAACGTTTTCATTAGTACTTGATACTCACTGAAACTGCTGCCATTTCTTAGTTCTGAGTATTAATGTAGGACATTATTATTATTATTTTTTAGCTTCTAGCCTGTGTGAGGAGTCAGCACTTTTCTGCCTGCCTGACAACTGAGGGCAGTTCAGGTGCTAAGAGTTGGGAAGCATCCCATCTCTGTTGTCTTCTTTCCTTTGCAGACAGTGGTGGGATGCCTGAGAGGCCCTGTGTGCTCACCGGGACGCCAGAGAGCATTGAGTGAGTTCTGATTTTATTCTTCTCCTTTCTCCTTTTCTCTTTTCCCTAATGCTGTGCTCTGTCAGTGGTGCTACTTGGTTAGCCACACCAGCAAATGTTGGCCTAGAGAAACTTGAGGGTCCTGGAACACAGAGCCTCTTGGTCTGATGCTTTGAACTGTGCCTCAAAGGCTTTTTTCCAGTTTCAGTTTGAACCCTCTGCAGAGTTGTCCATGGAATTCCCCTCCGCAGGGCAAGGTTGCTCCTAGGGCACCTAGAATGCAGTTTTTGAGCTGCAGCTTTCCAGAATATTTAGCTAAGCTGTTGAAGGGCACTTCTCTTCTCCCCTTCGCTTCCCTGCTATTGAGCTGACATCCTTGCAGCTGAAGAAGGTCTGCATGAGGCCTCCAAAGCCTGTTGGTGCCACTCCAGAGATACCTGGAGGTGTTGGTGTTGCTGCAGAGCAGCACGAGGCCCATGGGTGTGCTTGCCTCTGCACTGCTGCCAACAAGAAGCAAAGGACTGAACCAGAAATTCTTGAATTCTGATCCCTGCATGGTACAGACACATGGCTAGCCAGCAGGGGTTTCTACTCTTTAGGCCTATAGAAACTTTAGGGACAGTGTTTCCTCCCTCCCCCTTCCCAGGAGCTGAGTTTGAGACTCTCACAAACCAGTTGAGGACCTTCTGCTGGAACTGGATCCAGGATCCTCAGGCTTACAGGAACACACTTAACATATGGAGCTGCTCTTTCTCTCCCCAGCCTTTGGGTAGGTGGGTTTTTTAAAATCCATCTGAAAATCTTTGAGTTGCATTTGATAGTGAAAATACATGGGCGCAAAGATGTCTCTCTAAAGAGAAGACAACCATCATCCACCATTCCTAAGAGATCTAAGGGTACTTAAATCTTCGTACTCTACCATAATGATGCAAGTGGTGAGCCAGAATAAATACAGTTGGTAAGCTCACATTACAGGGCAGGTGATGTATTCTTGCTGATACTGAAGTGCTTTTTCTCCCTTTGCTAAAAGATATTTCAGAACAAGAGCAAAATATTAAAACAAAACTGGGATGCCCAATAAAATGCAGCTGGCGCTGATTGGGGGAGAGGTACAGTGAAGACCTCATTATTCAGAAACATGCAGTTAAATGTCTTTAAATCAAAATAAAATAACAGGAAAGGTGAGAATATGCAATTTTTGGAGCAGAGCAATGTGTTAAGGATGTGGAACTAAGTGAAATTTTGTTTGCTTCTGTGCTGAAATCGTCGAGTTAGCTTTGAACTATTTTTTCAGGTTACTCATAGGAAAAATTATCTGAAGTGAGACAACACTTCAAAAACAGCAGATATTTAGATTGGTTTTGTGTGAGGAATATTTCCTTTAGTTATATCTGGAGGCAAACTAATAGAGCTAATTTCCCAGTGACCTCTTCTCATCCGATATGCGTGGTGTATTGAATGTTGTAATCTCTGTTGTCACACTTTATGCAGAATGTCAAGATAAATGAATAAAGCTTTCCGAATCTCTCAGTATTTGAATCAGGCTTCCAGAAATTCCACCTTTTGCCTTGTTTTGTGAGAAAGTTGAGAGAGGGCAGCACTCTGATCTTTGTGCAGGCTCAGATCACCATCCCTTGAACTGTCTTGAGTGAATGCCTGCTTGCAACGGATGGTTTCATGCCATTTCTTCAGGTTTTTAGAGAGAAGACCATCCATGTGCGGTGCCTGAGTATGAAGTGGGGAAGACTCTGCTTTAGACTGAGCAGGGAGCTGGTGGCTTTCTTCTACCTATTTGAGAAGTGTTGTTGGAAAAGGGAAGGAAAGGGATGTGTTGGTAACAGCAGTCCTTGTGATGAAGGGAAGATGTATCAGCTACTTCTGACGTGCTAAAAAGAGAAGATATCTTTGCTTTTTGTGTCTGTCTCTTTTCATGAGTAGAAGAACCCAGTCTTCCACTGGTTGCTGCTGTGGTGTCCTTGCCTTGCTTCCTGGTGTAGCTTTAGCACCTGCTGCTTGGGGCAGAGGCTGTATTAGAGCAGTGTTGTGGTGCTGCTGGTGAGGGTGGGCAGAGAAGAGCAAGGCATTGTCTGTGAGGGATCGGAGTGGTTCACCAATGTGCTGTGTTAGTATTGAAGCACCATCTGTTTTGTCTTGATCAAGAAGGAGAACAGAGCTTGAGGGTGTTTTGTTTTTGCCAAATATTACGTATACATGGGGGAAATAAGTTTAGAGAAGTTCAGGGTATAGAGCATCTTCACTCAAGTTGTGCACCCCACGTGTAACAGCTCCTTAACTTCCAAAGACGTTGGAGCATGCTGCTGCTCTTCCTTTTCTCTTCCCCTTACGAAAAATCAAGCTGCTTATAAGTAATCATGACAGGGGAAATTGGATACCGCCCTCTCCCCCCAAAATAAAGTTGTGCTAACTGGTTTCCTTCATCTTTTCACTTCTCTCCCCGATTGCTTCACATTCCAATGGTTCCAAGTCTCTTGGTCACACGGAACAATGTTGTCTAATGGTTGTTTCCCTCGATTCTTTTCCAAGACAAGCAAAACGGCTACTGGGGCAGATTGTAGATCGCTGTCGGAACGGACCTGGTTTTCACAACGATGTTGATGGCAACAGTACGATTCAGGAGATTTTGATCCCGGCATCCAAAGTGGGTCTAGTCATCGGCAAAGGAGGTGAAACAATAAAACAGTTGCAGGTGCGCAAGATGCATTTACTTTAGGGCTCTCTTCCCTACTGCAGCTTCTCTAGATCAACAAGAGCGTGCTGAAATGGAGAGCCTATAAATGCTCTAACCTTCTACAGCAGGGACTACTCTTCTGCCTTCGGAAAGCTGGACCCAACCTTGTGTTGCAGAAAAAAAACCGGTTTAGCCCCAGCTACACATGCAGTGGAATTTCCACAGAACTGTGGGGAAAAAACCTCGTGCTTTAGATAACATTTGGTGCGTGCTGTTCAGGATGGGACCCCTTAGACAAGAAGTCTATCTCTAGTCTGCTGCTGCAATAGTTTTTAATGCCAGCCATGCTGTTGTAGAGTGCTCTGCTTCTCCTTTGTTGTTGATCTGTGATAAAGCTGGCACTTGTCTTCCTTTTTTTCCTCATCCCACCCTTTCTAATTAAGTGTTTTGTTATGTATAAATCCATGTTCCTAGACATTCTTTATGCTGACATCCTGTACAAGTTTTTAAAGGATAGAGGGTTCCAGAAGGGAACCTGGGTCAAAAATGCAGGTTTTTTGGTTGCCCTCTGCCATCCAGTAGTTTTAAGGCTGGTCACGTAACTGCTATGTGTGGACAGCTACAGATTTTGGAAAGGGCTTGAGTTGCCAAGGTAGAGTTCTGTTTTTGCAAGAGATTCACCTATTTGAGATCATCAGGAGTAGCACACTTCCTGGCAGTCCTTTGCACTCTAGGACTGTTACTCAATTTGTGTTCTAAGTACTTGTGAAGAGCTACGGTAGTGTTCTGCCAAGCTGCTAACATGACCTACCTAATGTCTAGTAACCAAAAGTAGTCCCTTGTTTTAGAGACTCTGCTTAGCAAAGTGCTCTGTGCTTTTTCTTCAGGAGCGAACAGGTGTGAAAATGATAATGATCCAAGATGGTCCAATGCCTACTGGAGCAGATAAACCTCTCCGTATTACTGGAGATGCATTTAAAGTACAGGTATGTAATAAAAGTAAGCAGTTGCCCCAGAGTGTTGGGGGGAAGTTGGAATGTATTTGTGGACATCTAATGGAGTCGAATCCTTTATAAATCCATCATAAATGCTGTGTTCCCTGGTTTTGTTCTGTAAAGTCAAAGTTTGATAGAACGAGTCAGAACAAAGGACTAGCGAGTATTGGCCAGTTTACAGTATGACCTGGGGGCTCTCACTACATGTAGGTATTAGACCTGGGTACAAGAGCTAAGCAGGAAGGTTTGGAGAAGGTAGAGTGGAAAAACTTTCCAGTCCTGAAGCACAAGTCCTGAAGCACAAGTCACAGCTGTGTGTTATTTAAGCAGTTGGGTTCGCAGTGACCAAATAAGCAGACGTTTGAGAAAGTTTTGTGGAAGGCTCAATATCTCAGACAGCCAACTGACGCAGGTAATTAAAAGTAGAAAAAAATAAAAGAGTAAAAACTACAACTCCTGAAACCAAGGGGTTTACTTAATGCTGATATGTCATCCTCCTTGTGTCAGGGTTCTGCAGATACAGTCGTGTTGTGGTTTCAAAGCAAAAACCCATGATCCTGCAGAGCTTGAAAGATTGCAGCATGATAGGAGCTCTTGATTTAAAGTTTAGGTGTGGCGCGTTCCACTTCCCAGCAAGTGCCTTTCATACCATGCTGGATACTTAAATCTGGCTTAGCATTCCTGTCTCTAATAAAAGTAGTTCTGTTTCATTAGATCTTCCTAATCATAAACTGCTGTAACAATTGATGCTGGTCAGGTATGTTTGGAGAGAATTTTTCAAGCCACTTATTAGTTATATCTAAAGCCCAGTTGTATTAATTTCCACAGTTCTTATACTTATTGCAAAGGTATAAACATGTAGAAAGTTTAATGAGATTCTTGCTGCTTTTAACCAAGTCATACTGTGAGTGCTGAGGCTTTCCAGATGGTTCCTTCTGCCTTGCAACATTTGCTGTTGTCGCATCTTCTGTGCCATAAATCATGGCAAGCAATTGTGAAGGCTTCATAAACTGGAAGATCTTTGAGGCATTTAAAGTTCAGCACACTTAGAATGCACTGTAGAAGCTCATTGAGTCCTTGGTTTTGGTGGGAATCTCTGCGTGCTGCAAAGTGCAGAGTTCTTAACTATCTCACATCGCTAGGCAATGCCTCCATTGCCCTTATTTCTGTCTTAGCATCTCTGAAGTATCTTGAGTTGTCCATTTCTGTAATAAATGCTCCGGGGACATGGAAAATACATAAGAATAGGAAAGGAGGCAGATTTGCCAGCGTCCCTCAAACTTTCAAATCGAACCCAAGCATCTGAACCTTGACAGAAACAGTGGTACAGGCTTTGACAGGCAGTCTTTTTTTTTTTTAATGGTGACTTACTGCTGGCTTATTTCCAAGGAATGGTTTTTACTAGCTGGGCATACATGCAAGTTTGTGAAAGGCCTGGAGAGCTGCAAGTAGATAGGAAGAACACTCATTTGTTTCACACACACAAAAAAACCTTGCTGGATTGCTGCAGACTTGAGTGTAACTTTGAGTGTCAGTAAGCTGGCTGCTGCTCTCCTGCCTTCTCGTACGTGCTCTCTGCTTTTTAGCAGACATGCTGACTACTGTGCTGCCAGAGCATCTGCTGTACTGTTGGTTTCAGCTCTATCCAGTAGGAGAGGATCTTCCTTCAATTAAATTAAAAAAAAAAAAAAAGTGGGGACAAAGTGATTGTTTTAAAAGCAAAAGCTCTCTTTTGAAAGACTGAGGTACACAATTGCACAAAGAAACTGCTGCCTCGTGCACCTGGCAGACTCTGACATCTTCCACATCTGATGAAAGCAGATCTCCTCTGACAGTGGTCAATTAGCCACTATCGAGGCCCTAACGCCGAGATGGCGAGCAGAATATTTTAAGCTAACTGTAACTTCTTTCCCCATGTAGCAAGCAAGGGAAATGGTACTGGAGATCATCCGAGAGAAAGATCAGGCAGACTTCCGAGGCGTACGCAATGATTTCAGTTCTAGAATGGGAGGAGGCAGCATAGAGGTATGTTTTCTTCACAAGTACTCTGCTAACCTCCCTGTGGGACGGGCAGTGGGTGGAAGTCCTCAAGTTTCATGTGTAACCTGTAAGCTTCTTTTAAATGCATTGTTTTCTGTTGCCAGAAAAGTGAGTCTGGCTGCGAAGGGGAGTTCTCATGGACTCCCAGATGGCACTTTTCTAATTGTCGTTTGAAGTTGCATTCTTGTAGCTCAGAGTTCATTTAGTGGGGAAGGAATTTGTGGCCACATGTTTGTTTTTCTTACAGAATATCTTTGTGTAGCCTGGAGCTGCTTAACATGGCCCATCTCCTTGTTAAATCAGAGTAACTCAGTCTAGTTCTGAGCTTTCATACTGCTTTGCCTTTCCCATCAGGTCTCTGTGCCCAGGTTTGCTGTTGGAATTGTAATAGGAAGAAATGGAGAAATGATCAAAAAGATTCAGAATGATGCTGGAGTTAGGATTCAATTTAAACCAGGTTTGTGTGAGGATGGAGAGCCATTGCTTTCTGACCACAGTTTGGGATCGCTGCAGTGATTCTGCTCTGAGGTTACAGCAGCTAGGCTTTCCTCACTTAAAGGTGCATTGTCTCTTTCTGTAAGCTGTTTAATGACATACTTGTTCCTCGTGCACTTTCTGTTGTTCAGAAAGTAAGATTATATACGTCTTACTTACAAACGTTAGATGTCACAACAATAATGTCTTGAATGGTAACTGTATGGGCAAACAAAATAACACTTCTGTTTCCTGTTAAGGAGTTCTCCTTCAGGGCATGAAAGCCTTTGGAGATCAGGAGTTGATTAATTCTAAGTAACTTTCTCTGGGTCCTTGGCTGTCTGATCACCTATCAAAGCTGCCTTTGTCCTCTTAAAATTATATCAATCTCTCTCATGACTTTTTGACATTTGAAAGTGTTGTCTTTTAAATGCTGTCCCCTCTGCAATGAGATTTTGTCTCCTTTCAGTATGTGGAAGTGTGGCTGAAGGTGGAGGGGCGAGAGAGTTTGGGCTAGATGTGTTATATGAAAGTGCTGCTGGCAGTGGTGGTGCTGGAAGGAAGCTTTTGTTGGTGGGTGGATATTTTCTTCTTTTAATTTAGTCTTTGCCACTTCTCTTCACAGATGATGGGATTAGTCCTGAAAGAGTCGCACAGGTCATGGGGCTTCCCGACAGGTGTCAACATGCAGCACACATCATCAGTGAGCTTATTCTAACAGCACAGGTGGGTTCTGGAAGCTCCTGGGAGGAAAGTGCTTATAGGAGAATGTCTGTGCATGCAGCTGTGTGGATGAAGAACGTCAGTGTTCAGTTTTTCTTCTTGCAGGCCAAGGAGAGAGCTGCTGGTTTGATTTTTTTTTGTTTTTTGGTTTTTTTTAATTGTGACCAGGGCTGATTGAGCTATGGGAGGGTATCCTGTTCTGAGGCAGGATCAATAGGCTTTGTTGTAGTTCTATGTTGAGCTGTTTTTCAAAGCTACTTGAAAATGGTGACCTAACGGACCATAGTCCAGCATTACAGAGAGACAGAGGCTGGAGGCTCTGCTCAGAAGGACTGGGCACTCTGGGCAGCACTTTGAGCTCAGTGCTCACAGCACCTCCTTTGCCACCTCTCCAGTTTCTGGTCCTCAAGCCTGGTGGCTGTGGGAAGCAGCGGAAGGTGAAAAACTTTCACGTATGCAGTTACTGTTTTCTTAGACACAAACATACTGCATTGTCCTGGAGCAAGAAGAGTGGAGATGAGCGAGGCAGTAGGGCAAGCTCATATGGAGAAGGTTGCATATTCCCTTTTTATTAGGAGGTAAATAGATTGTGTGTAATTATCAGGTTTGGAACGGTCTAATTTCTCAATTAAGGTTCAATCTTGTTTTCTCTTTTTGCCTTGAGATTTGGTTTGAATACTTGTGTAAGATTTTTGAGATCTGTCCTGGTAGCCTTTGGCTGCCTATGGCCTTTACTTCAGGAGAAGTTAGTTATCTGAACTCGGTATGTCCTTTAAGTGTCTTTGAGCTTAAAAGCTTCCTTTGGAATTTCTGGAAATTGTGCCTTTCAGCTGAGTAGTTCCAGAAGTTCTTTAAAGAATGACACTGGAAAGAGTTTGGATGCTAACTTGTGCATATGTCGGTGCCAAGATCTATTATTGGTTGTTCTAAGCAAACCTCCCATCACTAAATAAGAGCAGCTGATGCTTGTTTATAGGCTTATTTCAGCAGATACAAAGGCACGCATTTTAAAAAGGGTTTTATCTTCCTGAGTCAGGAAGGCAGCCGTAGCCCACGTCCCTGGCATTGCTTTAAATTGCTCCTAAGTCTTGAACGTGAAAGTCCAAGAATATCTTAATTCAGTGCCATTGATTACAATGCAGTTTAACTTCCTTTATTTTTGTTTCTAATGTGTATTGAGGCAAGCAAAACAAAAAACCAACAAACCACTGACAGAAATTCTTTGCCTTCCAAGGAACGCGATGGCTTTGGAAGCTTGGCTGTAGCCCGGGGAAGAGGTCGTGGCCGTGGGGACTGGAGTGTTGGAACCCCTGGGGGCATGCAGGAAATCACCTACACGGTGCCAGCTGACAAGTGTGGCCTCGTTATAGGCAAAGGTAGGTCTGCTGACACTCAATACTCAAGCTTCCAATTTTTCAGTCTGCCTGGCAGTTTTTTGTGAGTGCAGTTATTTAGTGGCCGGTGAGTGCAGCGCAGGAGTAAGCTGGAAGCTCTCTCTGTTGTTTACCTTGTGGTGTTCTCAATCATCATTGGACTCTCCAGGCCCTTGTTCACAATATGTGAGGAAGGCTCTTCATGCAGAGCTGACAGGCAAGCCTGTTACAACAAGCAGCTGGCTGAGAAAAGGAGTTTCATTTGCAGATCCTTTTTTAAAGAAACTCATTTAAAAGGCGGTTTGTCAGGGACAAGCAGGGCAGTCATTTTGGCATGCTGCATTTCTGTGGGTGCAGTGTAGTAAAATGAAAGATACATGAATGTGGTAATGACTGTAGCTGCTTCCAGCCATGAACCTGAGTTGTGTGATGAGTAAAGCAAAGGAGCAGGTTTGTCTGTGTCGCAGCTGACATGTGGGACTGGTGCAGAGCAGCCTGGTGCCCTGCCTGATGTGCACCTCTTCTTGCTCAGAGGAGTGTGTGTTGCTTCCTAAGCCATTGAATTGCTCCATGCAAAGCACACAGGCGAGGCACCTGGCCTTTCTCTGAGGAACCTGTGTGCTGCCAAGTCACTCATAAAACCAGAGCACCTGCATCAGTTGTTGTAGAGCATCAGGTAATGCCAGTAAGGAAATTAGAGCCAGGAATAGCTCTGTTGTTCTGAATTCTTACAGTGCTTTTGAGTTAAGACACTGACATATCAACGGAATTGTATTTAATTTTTTGTCTGCTTATTTCAAGAAGAATGACATATGCCTAAACCAGCATTTAAGTAGTCACAGTTGGCTTTTAGTGTCAGCAGAGGTGAGACGCACAGAATAGGAGCAGATTAGCTGCCACAGTAAAGGAGGCAAAGGCATGAGGGCACTGTGCCATGTTTCAGTGGCACTTAGTTCCCTTCCATCCTGATGGGCAGGAGTGAGCTTGCCATGAAACGTGTCGTGGCCTTTTCCCTTGCCACACAGCCCTGCTGCACCTCACCTGTTCCCCCTCTGAATGCTTTGTAATTGGGTGACTAGGGGCACAGGTATGCAACTCAGGCATGTCAGGTGTGTTTCAGATGTTTTTCTTTGCTGTAAACCTGTTCACAAGCCAGAAAACTTTTTCAGTATGACTCTTCCCCATTATGCAGATATTGCAGAGTGATTGCACTTTATCTCAGTGAATAGTCCAGCTGGGTAAAGATCAAGGAAAGCAAATTTTAAGCCCACGAGTGAGAGCTATATATATGGAAAAATCAAATTATAATGAAACTTTATTGCTGTATCCATTAGTCATCCTTAATAAAGGAACAGAAAAGGTCACTTGTTGTTCAGCAGTGCACTGAAGTGGAGCATTTGTGACTACAGAGAGCATGTGCTGAAAAGATAAATGCAGGTAGTGGAGCTAGATGTCCTAGCATTCAAGTGCAAGGCCCGGCACGGGCTCGCTGTGAGGGTGAAGGGTGGCTTTTTACCTTTGTTTCCACAACAGCTAAACAAGGATTCTTGCCCAGCCAGATCAGAAGCTTTCTGGAGTGACTAATTACTAGTTGTATGGTGATTTGAATGCTTGTAGCTTTGCAGTCGGTGCTCTTACAGTGCCTGTGCTCTTAAATACTGTTGCAGCATTCATTTTTTTGTCAAGTGAGTGATGGCTGTAGCATTGCCTTTTGGGGTCTGGGTTTGGATGGATGCACTGCAGTCTCCATTTGCTGAAGCAAGAGATTGTCTGATTCTTCTTGTTTCTTCTTCCGCTGCCTGTGGGGCATTATAAGGCAGAGGGGATGTTAATTTGGGGGTTTAAACACTCACCAGTAGCAACATCTTTGCTCAGCTCTGTTTTAGTTTCTGGGCAGTTTCTAGCTGGTAGTGTTTGTCTGTGTTTTTGCTGTGGCACAGAGCTTGGCTGTTAGCCCTCTGTACAATCCAGCCAGGTTCTGTGGGCACACACAGCACCTGAGCAGTGGTTATTTATTTACCTTGGGCCACTGGATGCAGGGTATCAGATGTGGCCAGGTAACTGCTGCTGTGCTTCCAGCTTCGTGTCAGCACTCCAGAAGCAGGGAGAAGAGGGATGGGGAAGTTTGCCATAGCTTGGTCCAAACAGTGTGTGGGCTCCTTTCCCATGAGGATGGGAAAAGCTTCTTTGCTTTGGAGTTTGAGTCTTTATGAGCTGATAAGAAGTTCCTGGCTCCCTGGAAATCCTGTACGTAGCTTTTTCCTCTAGAGGGTGGGTAGGTGCAGCTTTTCTTCTGTGAAAGACTCGAGGAAGGGTGGAGACAAGCACCATACACATGTCAAGTGCTTTCTCTGCTTGGTGGTGCATGGAAACAAACCGCAGCCTCTCTGGGCCCCCGCTGGATTTCCATGATAAATACAGCAATATTGACAGATAACGTGGCTGGCCTGGCTCTTGTCAGCTCTGCCTTTTAGCAGGTTTGATTAATTGCTTTACAATTTCACGTCCAGCTGGGGGGCCACTCTTGGATCACTTCTGCCCCCCATCAGGTAGAAGAATGGAGCGGGGCTGTGAATGCGGCTGCAGACAGCCACCATGTGCCGAGCGGCCGCTGCTTTATGGGGGCAGATGAGCTCCTTCCAGCATCGTCTTGACTGCGTCACTTTGCACGCTGTGCTGGAAACTAAGGGGAGTTTGGGATGGGAGGGGGCACCTGAGCATGTAGCAGAACGGAGGGTGAGGAGAAAAAGGGCACCGAAGCGCACACAGGAGGTGGGAGCTTGCAGTCTGCCACCAAACCTGGAGAGCAAACCTGCAGGATCCTTCCTACGGCCCAGGAGGGAGCTGATGAAACGGCCCCAGCAGCAACCAGCTTGGTGGTGACTGCTGAGCAGAGAGAAAACTCGACATCCACGTTCTCCTCACTTCCAGGCTGATGAGGATGCTTTGGATTTCAGTTCACTTTTGAAAGAGGAAACATAGTGGTAGTGTGCTGTGTGAGCTGTGCCCCACTGTCCTGAGTTAGAAAGTTGTCCCACTCCTTTGTGATCTCAAGTGTTTGGGTGCCATTTTCCTGTCTTCCTGTCTGTCTGTAATCGCTGGCTCAAATTCTGCCTTAATGTACAAGGGCAGGAGGGCTCGGTGTGAATCTGCATCTGACAAAAGCATAAAATACAACGTTGTGGATTTGAGCCTCGATTTTGTGGCTTTCCCATTCTTGTCTGAAAGCGAGTGGCTTTGCTTTGGCTACACAGTACAATCCCTGTTGTCTGCTCAGGGATGTGACATGACTACCTTTTGTTAAATGCATCTTCTAAAATTCATTTAGAAAGAGTTAATTGCCCTTTGGCAACTTTTCCTCCTCCCTTCCCCAGAAAGGCTTTAAAATGTTAAAAAGGTCACGAGTCCATTACAATGAAACGAACAAGTGTCTGCAACATCCACAGTTTGTTTTTGAAGTTGTGCTGGATGTATAGAGATGGAAATGTGAGCAAAATTGAGGAGATTTTTAGAGACTCCTTTTAATTAAAAGCGAACAAAAAGCTCTGGTTACTTTACTTCGCTTTCCTTCCTGCTTACTGCCTGTACTTCAGGCTGGCAGCTTTGGTTTGTGATTTGAAAATTGCAAAGCCCTTTCCTTCCCGTTACCCTTTAATTTCTCCAGTTGAGTGGAGCTGGTCTGTAAGTTGTGTCAGCTTCCAAAAGAAGAATCGAACCATTGTAGTGTTGGCTGAAGCTTTTGTTAAGCAAATTTCATTAAGAGACTGGGAGCTAGCAGGTCTTCAGGAAATCGGCTCTGTGCTGGCTGAGGCTGCCCCGTGCTGCTCGAGGCACTGCAGAGCTGTGCTGTATCTAAATGGCTGTGTGCCATAGACGTCGTTATGCTTTTATGGAAAAAGATGCTGAATATCCTGCCTTGATTTTCTTCTCTTCAGGTGGTGAGAACATCAAGAGCATAAATCAGCAGTCAGGAGCTCACGTGGAGCTCCAGAGAAACCCACCTCCAAACACAGACCCTGGTGTGCGAATATTCACAATCAGAGGAGTTCCCCAGCAAATTGAACTCGCTAGGCATCTCATAGATGAGAAAGTTGGTGTAAGTCCCATCTCTGTTGGTTTTGATCTGTCTCTTTCGGAAGTGTTTTCACCCATAGGTGCGTGTAGGCCTGGACCTATGGGGTGGAAATGGAACACTGTGTACTCTTAACACTATTTAACTTCAAAACCATTTGCCTGTTAGCAGCCATCTTGAGCTTTGGCCCTTGAGCATCCATTGGACTAATTTTTGCTGTGGTCCCAGGAGGATCTGACTGCTGACAAAATCAAGTGTAGTATGCAACTGTGCTAAGGCTGAGGAGGCTGCCAAGTGGGGTTTTGAAAGGAAGACTACAGTGTTACTGTGTGAAAATGACATAATCTTGGCATCATAATCCTGAAAGTAACACTGAGCTCCTTGCTCCAGCAAATCCAGGGTGATGTTTATCTTCTGCTTAATGCAGTGCTGTGGTATTGAAGCTTAATAATGTCAGGCCAGAATACTACTGAAGGGAGAAACTTGGGTAAAAGGAAGTAAGAATAATACTGAACTGGGGAATAGCAGAACTGAAAAGCAACCTTTGTGTTGAATTACCTGAGAGGAGAGGGCTTGGTACCAGCCTCAGGTTCCAAGCTATTCAGAAGAAAACTTCCAGCTGTGCTGGAGTCCTGTTAGCCCCTTTGTGGCTGGCCAGGGTTGCTTTTGAAGCTGAGCTCCTGAAGTGTGCTGACAGTCCTGAGAACTTCGTCCTTGGAAGATCAGTCATTTCAGGAGCTGGGGTTTAATGGAACATAGCCCAGGCTGTCTTCTCTCTGCTAACTATGTCCTCCCTCTGTGTAGAGCTGACATTAAATATCTCTGGATTCCATGGCAGGGTACCAGCATGGGTGGACCTGGAGGATTTGGTCAGAGCCCGTTCAACCAAGCACCCACCACACCTCATCAAAAGTAAGCTTCTGCATCTTGGCACAGATGGGTTCTGGGGAGGGGCTGGGAGCTGTAAAAGTCTTGAGAGGGGTATGGAGGGCATTGGGAGGGTGGTGTGCAAGTGCAGCCTTTTAAAGAGAGAGCTGAAAACTTTAAGATTGACTGCAGGAGGGATTTCAGCTATAGAATTGCAAACAAGGTAGGTATTTCTGTCTCCGGTGCAGTGAGTGTGGAAAGAAGCTGGAGCCTCACTTGCTTTTCAGTACCACGTGTCCTTGACTTCACAGACAATTTCCATGCAGTTAGCAGCTGCAGCTACACGTTTCCTTCTGTTCCATGTTCCTGTTTGCTCAGCAGTTGCTGACTAGAAGTAATAATTTTGTTTCTTTGGCTGACTTCATGCATATCTCCTCTTAAGTATTTTATTGTCTGCTTCAGCATGCCTTTTTATCCTCTGCAGTGGTCCTCAGGCGTTCATGACGCAGGGTTGGGGCTCTACCTACCAGACGTGGCAGCAGCCTGGACAGCAAGTCCCAAGTAAGTGGTTAGGGCCTGGGTTTGAGAAGGGCTGGTGTTCCCTTTGCCACCAGACACAGACTGAGCCATAAGACCACTTGTGTGCGGTGGTGTTAGAGCTTGGAATAAGCCCGAGTCCACCAAAACCAGTAATGCTTTTTGTGCACTTACCTGCTTGTTTCTGCTCCCTTTGTGGAGAAACCTACTTTGTAACGTTTCTGCCTTGAGCTTTCTCTTGTGAGGACTCTCCAGGCAAGCACTCTCTATCCCCACTTCTCCCTGACAGGCACACAGTGTCTGGTGGTGAGCCCTCCCATCTCTCTGCTTTTTAACTCATCAGTACTTGATATTTTTTTTGGTACACGTTCTTTATGAGCTCCTTTCTAATTCCCGTACTGACAGAAAGGTTGGGAAATAGATGCAGGAAGTGGAGAAGAAAAGCGTGGCTCCTATCCTGCTTCATTCACACTGGCTGTAGTGGTGTCCTCTTATTTCCTTCTGAGACCTGATAACTGCTCGGCTTCTGCAGCACTGAAAGCATGGAGTGTGACCAGGCAGATATTAGCATTAAGATACGAGTGACAGTGCACAAATATCTGCAGTAGTGAGTTCAGAAGCTGAACCCAGATCACTTCTGCTCCTGGTCTTAGTCCTTTGGCCCCTGACACAGTGAATCAAGCTGGCCGTTGTTCTGCAGGGATCCAAGTGTCCACTTCCTCACAAAACTGTTCAAAATTCATCCGGTTGGAATGAGGTTTCAGAATAACTGACGTAGTGCTGTAGTGATGATGTCTGTCAGTAATGGCATTTCCCTGTCTTCAGCAGTCTGATGCTTTGAGCAGATTCCTAGTCGACTTGTTAATCTCAAAGCTCATGTGATGCACTGAGATGCCTTTCAGTGCTCTGACTGGTTCAGCAATGAAGTAGGTGCTTAAGCTCAGTTTAAACTCCCTCTCTTTGAGGCGTCTGAGATGGAAGAATAATTGCTGTAACAATGCCAGCAACTGCATTTATGATTCCTTGTCATAGCTGACATCTAATGTAAATGAATTTGTGCATATCTGAGATCTGGAAATCCTCAGCACTGTGTTTTTGACATCATGCGAAACCCTGCATGGGACTGGGGGCTTTGTGTTAAACTTTGAGTGTCTTTGGGAGAGGGCTTCTACTCCTCAGGAATTGCAGTTTAAAAATCAGTGCTCCTCTGTAGAGCTCTGGAGACAGGCAGAAAATCAGCAGCAGTTGTGCCTTCAGGATAGGGGCTTGGAAAGAATTCTTGTTTCCACCGGAGTGGGGAAGTATGGTGCTGAGATGGAGAGCTTTCCCACTAGCCTGTTACAAATCACTGCTCACATCCTTCCTTGTGCTCTCCCAAGAGCACTGAGCCTTCCTGAGAGGCAGAGCAGGAAGAAATGCAGCAGGGAAAGCTCTACAAAAAAACCTTAACTTTCAGCTTCACGTAAAGCCTTGGAATAAATGCTTATGAAACATGCTTTTCTAATTGCCTTCAGAGATGCCTTTAGAAACTCACCTTGCGAATTTATCTTCTTCCTTGCCTCCCTCAGGTGTCCTGCCCTCCCCATCAGACACTGGGAGAAATAATCTCTCATTTTATAACATCTGTGAGCTATGTCTTGGGCTCACAGCCCTTGGCCTTGGAGCTTAGTGGTGTCAGAAGCCCAGGCCCCTTGAGTTCCCCACTACCAGCACTGTGGCTTGCCCCACTGGCAGCTGCTCTGCAGAGCATTTGTGAGATTGTTGGTGGTTCCCAGAAGCCGTGAAGCATCCAGCCCTGCAGTGGTCATTTCCCTGTGTGGGGTTGGTGCCATCAGATGTGTGCTGGGGGCAAATATTCAGTTTCTGCTGTTGAACGTGATGGAAAACGTCAGCTCACTGGTTTCATGTTTACTTGGGGTCCTCCATGCTCCTGTTGGTAGGCAGGCACACTGAAGGCAGTCTTTGTAAGAGGAGAGGACAGACGAGAGAACGCAGTGCTTTAAGCACACACCACTGCTTGCTTTTCTGCTGATCACAATGGTACCCAGTCAGGCCAGGTGGAATTCACCAAGGCATGGGAGGATTATTATAAGAAACTAGGTAAATACCTGTTTTTACGCTGAGTTTCAATTGGAGAACAGGCTGGTGAGGGGGCCCTGCCCCGTGGCTCTGCTTTCCCCAGCAGAGCCGTCCCTCGACTCCCAGGGACAGATCCCAGAGTGCCCTCCTTGTGGGAGGAGGGGCAGCCCCCACCCCTACACATGTATTCAGATTTTAATTACTTCCCCCATCTTAAATTAACTGGCCAGAGAAACATTTTGCCGTGAAATGCATTTAGCTGCGTGTCCTTTCAGCCCGCTGCCGACTGTAATTCTCCGAGAAGAAAAGGCATTGAAGGAGGTCCTTTGTTGGCATTAGCAGGTGGACAGTTGAGGCAGCCTTGACCTCTGCCAGAAAAGGTCCTGACTTGTAGCGTTGGTCAAGTCTTTTAACCTGCTTTTATGCCCCTGGACAGGACGCTGCTGCCCTGTTCCCTCCACCCACTTCACACTCGCAGTGCATTACGTTCCTCCTCTCCCCCCACTTCAGAGCCCTCTGAGATGAAGCCGAGGGGCTTGGATGGGCTGTGAGAGCTCCTCTGTGTGTGTGTGTGTGTGCTGTCCTTGCCTGCTGTGCGTGCAGCAGTTTGTGCTTTCACTGTGCCTGCCTTCCTCTGCAGTTTTTTTCTGATTGCTGTATTTTCTGTTCAGGGTTGGTTGGTTGTTTTGCTGCATGTCTGGCTGAAGGCTCTTTGCTCTGACTGCGGCCTCTGCAGCCAGCATGTTGGACTCTCCCCTCAACAACACTTAGACACGCTGGCTTCACCGCATCTTAGTGTTGTTTGAAGGAGGGAGGTTAGTGCTGGGTGCAGGCAGGCTTTGGCTCTGTGGGCTGCCCGTATGGCTCTTAGTGCAGTGCAGGAGCCCAGAGCCAGCCGTGCCTGCTCAGAAGGCTTCACAGGTGCTGCTGCACAGGGTGGTGTTGGGACGGTGGCTTGCTGAGTGCTGACCACGTTGTACAGGTGGGCATTGCCACCAGGACTCCTTGGGATGTGTCCTGCTGCAAGAGCACGGGGTGCAGATGCAGGTGACTGCAGGTGTGGTTGTATCCATGGCACCTCTGTGTGGAGGTTGAGGGGATAGGGCTCTGCTGCCAGGGTTTGAAGCCCGTGTCCCTGCAGTCAGTGTGAGCAGGCCGACAGCTTTGGGTGGCTGATGTGCAGAGCTAGCAGCTCCCAAACAGCGTGCTTGGCCTCGAGCGAGTCCTGACAGAGTGGAGGGGAGGGATGGAATTTGGCTTCGTGCCCCTCAGCAGCGCTCAGGTGAGACAGAATCAGGAACTTGAGTCTTTCCCCAAACTGAGAATGCCCAACGCAGTAGAAACGTGGAAGCTGAAGCATGGAATCCAGGCAACTGAGGTAGAGCCAGGGCCTGTCTAGTGGAGAGGTAGATGTCACTAGCTGGAAACTGTCACCTGTTCCATATTGACATGCCCCTTATTGTCATCTTTGCACAGGCCAACAGAGCCAGCAGCAGAACAGCCATCCTGATTACAGCAAAGCATGGGAGGAATATTACAAAAAACAGAGTGAGTGAAACAGGGTTGTTGGAGATAAGGAAACTTTTGTTACAGAGTTCACGCTAATCCGATGACTTGCGTCTCCATCCCCTGCCATCATTAGCTTCCAGTCCTCTGCAATTCCCTCCCTCCCTGCAGCTGGTGATGGTGCATGGTAGTTCTTCCACTGGAAGCTGTCGTGGTGCCTGCTGCTGGGCCTCAGGAGGGCTGTTCCTGCTGAGCTTCAGTGCACAGCAGAGCCCGTGTCCGTGCTGGGGAAGCATTGCACACACCGAGAATCGATGCTGACAAAACAAAACCCAGAAAGTTGAAGCTGGGTTGTCAAAAAGGTAGGAATGCTCTGCACACAGGTGTGTGGACAGTCGTGGCCCTGCCTTCCTCCTCTCCGTTACGAGGCGTGCGGTGCCAGCTTCTGGATTTGCATTTGGCAGCCTGGGTTTCGTCTTACCCAGCTGCTCATCCCTCCCTTTCCTTTTCTCTTTCCTTCAGGTCACGCTGCCAGCGCTGCTTCTCAGGCAAGCTCCCAGCCGGACTACACGATGGCCTGGGCAGAGTATTACAGACAGCAGGCCGCCTACTATGGGCAGACACTAGGGCAGGCGCAGGCCCACAGCCAGGTGTGTATTCACCCTCTGCTGCTACCCTGGGGGAGCTGGGTGTGCTGGCCTCACCCGGGTGTGGGGAGAGCCTTGGAGTGGTGCGGTGAAGCACAGAGGTGTTTTGTGGCTGGAGAAGTCAGGAGTCGCTCAGTGCTACCATTGCGCTTTCTCAGCATCAGACCGACTTCCCTGCGCAGGGTGGATTTGTGGGGGCACTGGGAGGCTGTGGGTTTATTTCCCCTGAGGGCTTTGCTCCCGATCCCAAGCCGTTGTGCGGCTGTCGGTGGGATTTCAGCACAGTGAGCGGCAGCTTGAGGCCGGCAGGACGGAGCAGCGCTGTCCTGTTGGGCAGTTTGCCTTTTCTCTGGCAAGCTTGGTGCTTGGGTCGGGGCACGGCTGGGGAGCACCTGCCTGATGGAGGGGGGAGCAGAGCCTCGCCTTGGTGGCACTGCAGCAGGGGGAGCCGCAGGCCGGGTGCTGGGGGGGCTGGCAGAGGGGTGCTGGGTGCCGCGCTGACGTGCCGCGTCCCTGTGCCCACAGGAGCAGTAGAACAACGCCCTCACGGCCATCGTCGCTACTTGGTTTCTCCCTCGGAATCATTGTGGAAGAAAACCTTTTTGTAACAGAGGTTTCTAGATTTGCAACGTTTTGATGAAGACTTTTCTGTTTGTTTGTGAAACACTAGCTGTAGGATAATCCGTACTGAACTTTTCTAAGAATCAGGAGCAATTAGTAACGTACTAAACTTACGGACATGCTGGTAATTTTGTTTCTAAATTTGTACAAAACAGCAAAAACAACAAAAAAAAAAAAACAACAACAACCATAAACACACACAAAACCCTCCGGGATCCCCTTTGGACGGAGCCGGGGGAGCTGCAGCTCCAGCAGCGCACATTGGAGCTGTGACATTTCAACGCGTGCGGCCGCTGTTCTCCAGCTGGGGTTGGTTGGGTGGTTTATTTTTTTTTTCTTTCTTTCTTTCTTTTTTTCTTCCCCCCCCCCTCCTCCTTTCCCCCCATTTCTCCTCTCCTTTTCATTTTGGAACCTTTTCTGTCGCAGCAGAAAGAGTGGCTTGGAAGTCTTAGGCGATGTGTAACGAATCCGAATTGAAAACAAAAAAAAGAGGAAAAAGGAAAAAAAAAAAAAAAAAAAAAAAAAAAGGATTTTAAACAGTATTTAAATATTCTTAAATATGTAAATTCATTAAATGTTTTACTTCTCGTTTTCTTGCATCTTTGATTTTTATTGCATTATTGTTTTTTGTAAGGAAGAGCAGTGCTGTGTGCTGTCAGGACGGTGAGTTCTGCGCTGGGCCCTCGGCTCCCTGCTGGGCTCTGAGGAAGGGGAACAGGAAAAGAGGGGCGGCTTTTTGGGAGCCTCCTCCTCCCCGTCCCGCGGCCACGGCTGCGTTGGTGGAGCTGAGACCTCCGAGCTCAATGGGAGAAAAGAAAAGAAAAAAAGAAAAAAAAAAAAAAGAAAAGAAACCTTCCTCTATGCTCTCAGAAATATAAATACTGTTATTTTTAATATGAAAGTGGATCTGCTATTGTGAGAACCTTTTAACAAACACTGTGGAGGCGCAAAGCCCTATCAGAGGTAGTAAAGCTATTTTTTAATCCCAAGGTGGGTTTGTTTCAGTTCTGTTTTTATTTTGGCTTTTTTTGTTTGGTTTTTTTTGTTTGTTTTTTTTTTTTTTTGGTTCCTTTTAAATATTTTCCTATCTAATATTGTCAGATTGCCTAGAGAGAAATGAATCTAGTATTAACCTCCGTACGCTGAATGATGTTGATTTAATAAAAGAGATGCTATGACTGGCGCTGTCGGCTGTAGTTCCTTGTACAGATAACTGTGCTTTTCAAGGAGGAGCAGAATCGAAGCTATTTGTTGCCTTTGAGTTCCCTGCAGGACGTTCCCTTCTGCTCTGCACCCCAGCTGCTGTTCTCCCACTCTGCCCCTGTTGTCCCTTACCATTGCGATGTCTGACTGTAAAGAAACCGGCGCCGCGTGATGCTCAGGTTTAAAACAGAAAAAAAACACACAAAAAAGACCCAAAAAGCCGAGGCGCGACGCTCCTCCGTTGGACTGGCAGTTGCATTTTACATTCTGTATAATAAAATCTCCACAAGGCGGCCTGTGGGCGAAGGACGGCGCTGCGCTGCGTGGGGCGGGGGGAGCCGAGCCCATCTGTGGGGCTGAGAGCCGGAAGGACGGAGAGCTGAGGAGTCTCAATGCACCTCCAGAGAATCGAGGGAGACAGTGAGCGATGGGATGGTAAAAGCCGCTCGGAAAGAGGGGAGAGGGGGGAAAAAAGGGCTGGAGGAGGGCGCGGGGCTGCTGCTGGGAATTGGGAGCGGGCATTACCGAGAAGACTTCCTTCTAATTCATCTTCCGAGCTCTGTGCCAAAACAGCATTTGGCATGGTTCACAGGGAGCAATTGTGTGATAATGAACCCTAAGGTGTCCCTTAATTGAAGACTGAGTATTACGGATTGTGCCAATGGTCGTAAATGGCGCAGGATTGTGGGAGGATGCATTTTCTTAAATGTATCTGTAAGTACAGATTAGAGAGCCTCCCCAGTGAAATGCCCATACTATAAATTATGGAAATATCTCTTTCTGATGCAACCTTTTATTGAGGGGGTGGGGAGGCGAAACAAATAGTTTGCGAGGCTTTGAAATTTGGCCTGTCATTAAGATGGTGCCTGCAAAGCTGGGTTTTCATCAGCAGTCTGGTGTCCTGGCAGCCTAAAGTGCTCAAAATGTTCCCAACTTCAGCAATTCGTTTTCCATTACCGCCGCCCGCTTGGGGCGCAGGGGCTGCGGCCATCGAAGCTCTGCTCTGCAAAGCCCTGGGGCTGGAGCTGCTGGGTGCCCCATCGCCTCTATGGGGCCCGGGGCCATGGGTGCTGATACTGGGCGTGATGGGAAGGGAGAACCTCAATGCGACGGGAGAATCCCAATGCGATGGGAGAGCTTTGTTGCGATGGGAGAGCAGCCATTGGTGTGAGATCCCAGACGCGATGGGAGACGCTCGGTGTGATGGCAGGTCCCTGATGTGCTGGGACGCCCTTGGTGTGCTGCAGGTCCATGGCGGCGCCTGTCGCTCTGAGGGCTGTGACTGAGGGGAGCCCTGCAGCCTAGGAGCTGCCACGGTGCCTTCGTGGTTCCTCCAGGAGGGAGCAGCCTCCTGCTCGGCTCTGCACGGCTGTAATCTCCAAAATGAAGTGGATTCAAGCTCTGATGGGATTCTCATGGAGGAAGGGGGTTCTGCGCTGCGCTGTGGGCGGAAGGTTTGGGAGCGGGAGGCGCTGGGCAGAGCTCAGAGCCCTGGGTTTGCAGCCACGCAGATGCTGCTCTATATTGGGCACCTCGATGGGCGTGGGGCTATTTTGAGAGCAGAAGGCAGGCTACTAAAACACCTGCTTTAATTTTGCATGATTCCAGAACGAACTGCACCGTGGCCATCGCGAGTTGCACTGAAATGATGATCGAAGCAGACAGCAGGCGCAGAACTTCATTTTTTGCTTGAGCACTTGAACGGGGCATCGATCGGAGCAGCGCTGTGCCTGCAGGAAGGTGGGTGGGAGGGGTGGCTGCTCCCAGCCTCGCTTTCCTGCACCCAGAGCCATTTTCCCACTGCAGCTCGGGGGCTCAGTGACCCAAAGGCGCACGGTGAGGTGCAGGGGCAGGTACTGTGAGCTCGGCACATCTTCCCAGCCTTCCCCTTATCATTGAGGAAATCCTATTTCAAGGCCTCTCTAAAGCAGCCTCTGATCTCTGCGCTGCCTCTAATCCCGGCCGGCCGGGTGCAGGTGCTGCGGGGTGGGGATTAGCGGTGCCGTCCCTTTGTGCGAGCCATCACTCAGCACTCCGTGCCCAGAGCTGCTCTCAGTGCTGGGGCCAATGGACAGGGAACGTGAAGTCGGTCCTGCGGTGAGCAGAGGCCGTCGCTCTGTTTGTTTTGCAGAGAATGGGGACGACAAAGGCTTTGGGGCTGACGAGCTCTCGTTGCCGTTGTCACCCAGCCCTGCCTGCGCCGCGTGGCCCCACAGCCCAACCCTGCTCACAGCCAACGATGGGCACGTGGTGGTGGAACGTGGGTGAGAGGGTGGATGCAGAACTTTGTGATGGGATGGGAGAGGGGGGGAGAGAGGGAGGGGGTGTGGATGGGGTGCAGGAGGTGTTGATGGGGTGAAGGATGCGGTGGTGGGATGGAGAGGTGGTGGTGGGATGCATGGCATGATGTTGTAGTGCTGGTGAAACCACTGTGCTGTGCAGGAGAGACAGCGGTGGGACACGACTGCCCTGTCCTCAGCTCACAGATGGAGGGCAGGACACAGGCAGCGATTTTCCCACCTCTCCAGTCCCAAACCCTCTTTGCTCCTTCCTGTAACCTCAATCTATGGGGAGCACCCGGCCCTGGGATGGGGTCTATACACGCTCCTTGTTCTGGGGCAGCTCTGGCTGCAGGGTTCCACTCCCCAGCAGCCTCGTGATGTGCCACAATCGCCCCTCATCTGCAGCCACCTGAGCTGTGCTGAGCGCTGGGATGGAGCCGGGAGTGCACAGATGGGCTCTTTCCTTCCCTGTTTGCTTTTGTGTACCGTGATCTCATCAAAATAATCCAGGAGTTACTACTTAAAAAAAAAAAAAGGAAAAAAAAGAGACAAGAAATGAAGCGGGAGCAGCAGGGAGAGCACTCAGCACCTCCCTCCACAGCTCCGCTGCCTCCCACGGAGAGAAACGAGGCAAAGAATGCCCCGAAGCTCCTTCAAGCAGTGCGATCAGCCCGGCTCCGGGCGCTGTGCTGGAGGCTCTCTGCACTCTGAGCGCCCTCGGGACCCAACCATCGCTGGCACTGCTCGGGGACACCCCGAACCCAGCCAGAGGAAAGGCTGAGCGAGGGCACGGTGAGGCTGCTCAGCTCCATCCCTCAGATGCGGCACTTTGGGGACGGCCGCTTCGGAGCTCCCTACGGGGGAAGAGAAGTGGGAGACACGCGTGGCTGCCCAGCACGAGGCGTGCGCCCCCAGGGACACCCCCGGATGGCCCCATCGCACGGCCACGGGGCAGCACGGAGGGCTGGGTGTCCCCGGCCCCCTCCTGTCCCCATCCTCGGGCGCTGCGGACACGGGGAACATTTGGGCGCATTCCCATAACCGAGTGCTGCCAACTGCTGCCTCGCAGGGCCGCAGCCCCTCTCCAGCGCCGCTGTTTGCTTTGCAGCCCCCTTAGCCCCTATTGAGGCTTTTCAGCCCCGGCCCCTTCAGAGGGTTGAAGTAGGTAGAACCTGAGGAAGAGGCTATTTTCCTCCCTCCCTTTTGAGCCCTGCCTTGTGCCCAAAAGGCCCCCTTGTTTCACGCGTGCCAGTCACCTGGCTGGGCCCCCGGCCCCTTTCTCTCCCAGCCTCCCTTTTCTTTCTCCTTTCTCTCTTTTGACTTTTCCAGGAGCCCTCGCTCTCCAAACGAGCTTCAGATTGGATCCAGATTGAGGTCCCTTTGTCTTTCAAGGGTTGTACTAAGCTAATTAAATGTGATCCCAACAAATAAACGCCGATCTCCCCATTACATTCAGGCCTGCCTTTCAGGCAGCACCGGGCGGCCCCTCGCCCCCGCCCGCTGCGCGCAGGGTCCCCCTCATTGAGTCCCGGCCATTGAAAGCACTGCCAGGATTTCTTTTGTGCCGGGGGTCTCCGAGCCCTTTTTCCATCAGAAAAGACCCCCAAACAGCAGCTCGGCCTTTGTGAGTTTGCAAGCAAACGCCAAAGAAAAGCCCCCTGAATGCTTTAATAAATGACACATTTAGCAACTTCGGAGGCGCCTGGCTCCTGCGGCAGCCGCAGGGGTGCGGTGATCCCTCCTGCCCCGGCTCCCGCAGGGTGCGATGATCCCTCCTGCCCCCCTCCTTTCCCTCGGCTCCGGCCTATTTGCGGCGCGGGGTGGTGCAGGGGATGCTGCCGCTGCACCTGAGCCGCTCGCAGCTCCGCTCCCGCAGCTCGGAGACGTCGATGGGGTCGGACGCGCTGCGCCACGCCGGCTTGGGGCACCGGGACGGCGGGCAGCGGGGAGGGCACCGCCCGGCTCTCGTCGTTGCGGAGCTTTTCGGCTCGGAGCCCGCGTGTCCCTTCTACCGCTATTGGTGGTAAATCCAAAATCGTCTTTAATGATTTTTCGCCCCCGCTGCACCGGCTGGGGGGCCGCGCCGGACTTTTCTCAGCTCAACTAATATCTTTTTAATGACTTTGGGAGGGGGCAGAGCCGTGCCCTAGAGCCTGGATTGCTCCAAACAGATGTTGGGGCAGAGGGAGGGGGATGCTCTTCGCTGCCAGGGACTTTCTTCTTAGAGTTCAAACGAGAGGGGAGCTTTCAATCACCGCTAAAAATGTATTTCTCCCCACTGAACAATGGGCTCCTTTCTGCGCCCGGGGGGGAACTGCGCTGCGCTCGCGTTTCTGGAGCGGGAGAGGAGAGAAACCGGAGGTTTTAGGGCAGGAAAACTCCGCTCCGAGAAGGGCTCCTCGCCGCGCCGCTCGTTTCGTAGCTCCGCGTCCCGCTCGCATTCGCTCTATCCTTCAAAAATCAAAACGAAAACAAATCCGCACGCGCCTCCGTGCAGCGGCACGGCGACGGCGGCGATGGGGAAGCGGCAGCGATCCGCCCCGCTTCTGCCGCCCGCTTCTGCCGCCCGCAGCCGCGCAGCGATGCGCGGATCCGACGCCGGGAGCGGCCGCGATCCCCGCTTATCCCGCAGCCCCGGAGCGGTCGGCAGCCGCGGCCCCACAAGAGTTAAATTTTAAAGCAAATCAAATTCCCATTG